AGGTGTGAAACCACATGTTTTGGGGGGAACCACACAGTTTGGGGGTTCCCTTTGCCACATAACTTAGGAAGCTGGAAAGTGAGATGTAACAGTGATACAGAGCTCTCTCTTAGCAGTTTGTAAGAATACAGGAGAGATATTGCAGGAAGGACAGGGGTGAAAGGACTCTTGCCGGTGGGCCATGAGAAGGTGTCATGCAGTTTCAAATTAAGAACTTGGGATCCCGGCAACACAGCTGATGGTGCTGGGAACCACGGGAGGCCTACAGCCGAGCAGCACAGATTGCTGGAAGGAACTGGGAGAAGTGCGCTGTGGACTTCTCTTCTTTTTCTTCTGGAGGACAGTACTTCTGACTGGCATGTGCTGAGACTGGCCTGACCGGGTGAAGTGGGGAAGGAAGGGCTGTGTGTTTGTGAGTGTTTTAAGGGACTCTGGGATTTTAACAAAGACATTAAGTCATTACTCTAAGCCTGTATAACTTTTGAATAAATAATTCCATTTCACCAAACTCTGGCATTGAGAGCCATAATTTCCTGGTGGCAGGCAAGATGCACCTAGTACAAGGGGACCCCAGGAGGGGGTCCATTCGGTAACAGTATCTTGTCCTCCCCATAGGTCCATTCTGCAACATTTTCAGCTCATAATGGTTGGTTGGAGTTAGGATGTGGACATGAGTCATGTGATTAGAATGTCCTGGGACTTGGAGGACCTGAGCCACCACCTGTGCTGAAACAACGAGGGTATGTGTCATAGGCTCTGTACCTGCCCACAAGGCTCCCTCTTATCAGTTGCCTCTTATCAGAGGCAACTGGGGCATGGCTGTCGGTATCCTGCTGGAAACCGGTTGAGCCCCACTGCCCTCTCCCCTCTCCCTGGAGCATTCCCCAGAAACAAAGCCCATAACCCCAGGGCTTTTTGTTGCCAAATCAGTCATTCCTGACCAGAGGACATTGTTGTTTCACAAACACCTACACCCTGCACATCCGGAACAGACCAGCAAGGTGACTCATGCTCTTGGGGGTCTGCTCCATGTCCTTAAAAACCCCTCTACCCCTTCCCTTGGGGCTGCAGTCTGTCAGACTCAGCCTGCCCAATTGCAGTGTCTCCCTTCTGAAGAAAGCTCTTAGTTGGACTTTTCTGGCTCCGAGTCCTTTCTTAGCCACTTCAGCTACCTAACACAGAGCATGAGCTGTTAGAATGGTCAGTGACAGGGCTGTGAAGGAATTCACAAAGAGAAGAAAGTGTAGAGAATGAAGTTTTTATTCACTCTCCAAGAAAGAAGAGGGGTATGGTGTGGAGAGATGCACCAGTATTGAGGTGTGAGGCTTTGAGCTTTTCTTGGGTTATAATTGGATTAAAAAAGGGTGGGGAGATTGCTGTTGTGTGGCTCCTGGGCTGTTGTAATGTGAGGCTGCAGTTTGTTCCAAAGTTATCTTCTGCCCCTGGCTGCAGGAAGCGGTTTCTGTTCTTGCTTCCCAGTAATTTCCAGTCCTGGGGATGAGCTCAGAAGAGTAAAATGGCAGTCACATTTAAAAAGGTCACAGGCCTGCTGGGCAAATAGTGTCACATAGCAAATGGGGTTGGCTTTGCCCTGTGGTGAGCTGTATAAACTATGTAATCGCCCCTCACCCATTGCAACCATCTCCGCCGTGGAAGCTATAGTGCCGTCACTAGAACCCCCCAAAAGTTTTTAAACCATCTGTGATGTTGTGACTTGTGAGAAATATATTTTTGGTCTTCTCCCCTCCATTCCTAGCACAGAGCCCCTAAAACCTCAGTAATTTCCTAAGCTTTAAGAGTGATAAATGTGTCTCTGTTACGTTAATAAGTGACGTTTGGACCTCACTTAAGGGTGGGACAGCCAATCATGTGATTGAAAGGCTGGAACTTTCAGTCCCACCCACCCCACCCCACCCTAACGTCCTGGGAGGAGAGGAGGCCCGGAGGCTGAATCAACCACCAGCGGCCAGTGATTTAATCAGCCCTGCCTTTGTAATGCAGCCTTCATAAAAACTCAAGGGACAGTCCGAGAGCTTCCAAGTTGGTGAACCTGTGGAGATGCTGAGAGGGGGATATGAAGCCTGGAGAGGGCACCCTTTCCCCATCTGGCTACTCTTGAGTTACATACTTTTATAATAAACCAGTAATCTAGCAATTAAAATGTTTCTCCAAGTTCCCTAAGGCACTCAAGTAAATTCAAACAGGGAAAAGGTCATGGGAAACTCTGGTTTACAGACAGTCCACCAGAAGCACAGGTAACAACCTGGACTTTAAACTGGTGCCTGAAGCACAAAGAGGAGGTCCTTGGAAGCCCCAATTGATAGCTGGTAGGTCTGAAGCACGATGACAATGTGGTTTGCGATTGGTGTCTGAAGTCGGCGTGGGGAAGCTGTCATGTGGAATTTGGCACTGTCTCTGGTACAGTGTCAGAACTGATTGCAGGACACTCAGCTGAGTTCCTTGGAGAGGTGGCTGAGGCAGGGAAAGCAGGGGGGGAACCTGGTACATCTTACTGTGTCAGAAAGCAACAAAGTGCTCAAAGAAGTTGGATTGGTGTTCAAAACACAGGAGTTGGCTTGATGAGGCTTTGCTGGCCAAATTTGTGTGTGTGGTGGTGGAACTGACCAGAAAAAATAATGGTATTGTACTAGTGTAGGGTCAGTGGACATGGCCCTTCCTCCTCCCATGACTGAGGGCTGATCAGGGGCCCCTGGCCAAAAGGAATGTATTGTTTCGTAAATGGATTGTAACTTCCTCCTTATCACCTTTTGAGAGTGGCTTCCTGTCCTGTGGCTGCTTCTTGGCCTTTTCTTTACACTGAAGTAATGCAGTTTAGAGGCACGTGTAGGACACACACCTACTTTGTCTGGGACCCCTTCAAACAAGTCTCAGGCCCAGAGGGGTGTGGTCCTGCTTCGCCAACCTGCCACCGTTGGTGTTCCCTGTAATGTGAGTAATAAAGGCAACGTCTATTCCACCCAGCCCTTGTGCATTTTTTTTTTGGCTTATCTGAACAAACAGTTGAGGTTCCCAAGGCTTAACCCCCTGCATTACAACTATAAAACATAGAATTTTTTTAAAAATCCATAAATTCACAGTGATTCATAAAAAGGAGGTGGCTGGTGAGCTCTTATTTACAGAGGCAATGTCAGTTAATAAAAGTGGATATGGATAATGATAGAGTTAGCAAAAAGCACACTTTTGCAAATACTGATATGAATGATTCAGACAAGAATAATGCTAAAACCACTGAATAAAAGGTTGATGAACATATTCTCAACAAATCACTCCAGAGAGACTTCATTAATCACAAATGAAAAAGGATGGCATTCATTGGCAAAACAGGGCATACATCACCTTTACAGAGTAACCAAGGTTCACTGATCAGTTAAACAAGACACAGGCCCAAAATGGGGTCACTTATGCTAAGCCCCACATCACCAAACCAAGACTTAATTACAGTTTTGGTCTCTGGTTCTAGAGATGGAATCTTAAACCAGTCAATCAGAAATTACCTGGTCATCACTAATAAGGTAACCTGCATAAAAGACCCCTTCCATCCCTTAAAGGAAAGTACCCTTGCCACCACCAATCCACTTTTGCTAGCATAACTTCCTTGTGCTGCTCCCTTCTGTCCGTCTTTCATTTTATACAACTCCCCAGATCTCCTTTCTGTCTGCTAAACAGGATGCTGCTTGATTAATTAATCATTAAATAAAGCTGTTAGTCCTGAGAAATGAACCACCTACTAAGAAGGGCTCTTGGTGGCTGAGCTCAAATTTTAAAAAACAGAGCCTAGCAGCTATTTCCACACAAGGGCCTCTTACACAAACGTACACTTCAGGGAGAAAGCACTGAACTACCTGCCTGCCTGCCTGCCTGCCTGCACTGAGTTTCTGCCATCTGAGCCAATTTATAAAGGAGTTCCTGGAATCCTATTTCAACCAATAGGACTGAGGTTTTCCTCTCCAACTGGAGCCATCAACTGGAGCAGCTCTATTATGATTATTCAGATAGGGCCTTTGGACCAAGCAAACCGTGAGGATTTGGAGTTCTCATTTGCATGAGGACTGACCAACCAGGGAGCAGGTGCAGGTACTTCTGTCTACATGAGCTGGCTCTTCATTGGCTCTGGAAGTGCACTTTCCATTTCCACTGAAAACTGCGTTTCCCCAGCGGAGCTAAAGCACTGAAGTTGTCTCACTGGAGCAGAGTTGTCTAGCCAGAGAGGAGCCTGACCTCATGGCTACTTCACAGCTGAGCTGCTTTGCAATGAATAAAGTTTCTTTCATCACACCCAAAGTGCGGGTTCCTACTGGCACTGAGTTGGCACCAAAGACTATTAACTAACAAAGCCAGTAAGATCTTTAAAATTTACTCAGTTAATTTTGTTTGTTCACACCAACAATTGGCATTATGTCCCTCCTGCTGTGAAACAAGTGCTGCATGTTACTCAAGTGTCTTCTGACAAAAATTCAACCTTAATCTAATCATGAGAGGTGGAGGGAATCGAAGATTATGGCTATTCTATAAAACAATTTGTCTGCAATACTCAAATTTATCAATCTCACGAAAGACAAAAAAAAAAAATGTGGCCAAGAGAAGGGGAAAGAGCTGTTCTGGATTAAAACAGACTAAAGAGACAAACGAAGGGAAAGGCGCGACTCTGGACTTGGATCCTGTATAGGAGCACTTGGGACAATTGAGCAAATTGAATATAAAGTGTGTATCAGATAATTTTGCATCCAAGTTAAATCTCTAGGGTGTCAAAATCGTGTGATCACTAAGATAACGCCTTTGTTCTCAAGAGATAAGTATTTGGGTATTTACGATATAAGTTTGCAGCAGTTTCCAAGCAGATAGTTACAAAACAACCTCAAGCTCCCTACCCAAGGTTCACGCGTGCACATTGCTCTCTCCTGAGACAGCGCTACTCCACGGTCAGACTGAAGGCCACAAGGCGGATATACGTAAAAGGAGCTTCCGGTGATTGCGTAATTCCTGCGACTAAGGCGGCAAAATGGAGGAGACGCCTCACGGTGAGCGCGCGGAAGGGGCGTGGGCGGCGGGCCTGAAGGGACAGGAGCTGCTCTAACTGTCATTGATCGTGTCTCTGCGCAGACTGTCCCGGGACCGGCAGCGCCCAGGCAGGCCGAGGGTCCGCATGCCAAGGGTGCCCCAACCAGCAGCTATGCGCTTCGGGAGCTGGCGCGGTTCCGGACCCAGGTGAGGAAGGCAAAGCCTGAACAGGAAGAAGTGGGGCGTATGGGAAAACTGGGCGGTGACGGTAGGAGGGATCTGAAGAATGATTGATAGGGACGGGGCGTGGAGAAGTCGCGGGGCTGAGGGGCGGGACTTGAGAAATGAGTGACTGGGGCGGGGCCCGAGGGGCAGGGCCTTTAGGCAAGGATCAGGGAAAGTGGCAGGATGGGGGTGGAGCCTAAGGATCAGTGACTAGGGTGAAATCAAAAGGTAAGAGAAATGGGGCATAGGAGAGAGTGGGCTGGATTGAGGGGTGCGGCTAGAAGTTAGAGGTTTGAGTGACAGTAACTGGCCTGGATGAGGCCACCAGCAGGAGAATAGGGTATAAACTTTGAAGACAGTTTGGGCTTAAATCCTGGCTCCATCAGCTACTTTCTTTGGACAGAATTTCTTTTAAAGAGCTATTCTTCCATTCATCCAACAGAAATATGTATTAATCGGCCCCTAGGCACAGTGCTCTGAGCTGGGAGTATAGCTGTGAAAGAGAGGTCACTGCTCTAGTGGATGTTGGTTTAATAGGGGAGGCCCACCATAAACAAGTAAGCAAGCAAATAAGTCATCACAGCAATAAGTACCTTGAGGGTCAAATTGGAGGGTGGGGAGGGCTCTGGGAACCCACTAAAAGGAACTTTAAAAGCAGGAGGCTGCAGAAGAATTTTGAAGGAGTTCAGAGAGAGACTTGGGTTCGATTCTTGGGTCCCACAACCAATATTGACATTGAGCAAGAGTCTTAGCCTTCCTTAGCTTGTTTCCTCACCAGTAATGGGAAGAAAAAGTTAACCTCACAGTGTTGTTTGAAGGATTTGAAATAAGGTGGAATAGTGAAAGCACAGCAAATGTCTGATAAGTCATAGTCATCAATGACCGGTACTTACCAAGTGCCTGCTGCGTGTCAGGGTTTCTCACCCTGGGCACTGTTGACATTTGGAGCTGGATACTTCTGTTTTGTGGGGGCTGTACTGAGCATTGTCAGATTTCTAGCAGCATCCCTGGCCTCAGCCCACTCTATGGCAGGAGCACCCTTCCTTGTGACAACTATAAATGTCCCCAGACATTGCCAAATGTCCTCTGATACGTTTTGCCCTCAGGTTGGGAATCATTACTATAGTCATACCCTGAATAATGATATTTTGGTCTATAATGGACTGCATATATGGCTGTGGTCCCATGAGATTAAAAGAGGGTTGGAAATTCCTCTTGAAAAGCATTCCTCACATGCCTGTGGTGATGTTCAGTAAACAAACCTATGTGCTGCCAGTTGTATAGAAGTATAGCACATATAATTATGTACAGTACATGATAATGCTAATAAACAACCATGTTACTAGTTTATATATTTACTACAGTATATTATACTTATTATTTTAAAACAGCATGCTGTGTTACACTGACAGCTGCCTTATACTTCTCATGTGTACCTTTTGATTACATCATCTTTGTGCTTGATTTAAACTTGTGTTGTTTCGTGCAGTAACATGCTGTATAGGCTTGTAACCTAGGAGCAATAGGCCATACAATATAGCCTAGGTTTGTAGTAGTCACTGCCACTAGGTTTGTGTGAGTGCATTCTACGGTGTTTGCAGGATGAAATTGCCTAACAACACATTTCTCAGAATGTATCCCTGTCATTAAGTGATATATGGCTGTATATTCAAAGCTCTGTTTTGGAGCTGGGAATAAAGTGGTGAATGAACACTTCAGGACCGAGTCCCAGCCCCATGAAGCTTATATTCTAGGGAGAGACAGATAAACCAATAAGTAAAAAAATGACAGATATGATGATAGCCTTATTTTCTTTGTAGCTCTCGTTTACTACCATTGACTAGGTGGTATTTCAGTCATGATCCTTTGAAACAGCCCTGAGGACTTAGTTGCTTCTAGCCCTTTGGAACAGTCACATCTGGGATTTAGTTGGAGAACGTTATCACCTGAATTGCTTTCTTTGCAGCCATGGAGGAAATCAAAGAGAAAATGAAGACCGTGAAACACAAAATCTTGGTGTTGTCTGGGAAAGGCGGTGTTGGGAAAAGCACGTTCAGTGCCCACCTTGCTCACGCCCTAGCAGAGGATGAAAACACACAGGTGGGACCTCAGGAAAAACTGGGAGAGGCTCCTGTCTGAGGGTTTGTGATAGCTTGTAGAGAACTGGTTCCTTAGACTAAGTTGAATTGGTCTCTTTGAATTTAGCTCCCTGCAGAGAGATTAGGAAACAAACAGCAGTCAAGCAGTGAAACGATACTTTTCATTGGATGCTCTCAATACAAAAGTAGATAGCAGGTGTACATTTCTCTTGGCATGCTGATTATTTATGTTCAGACTTCTATCTCATTATTAACTCATTTTTGCCTTTTTCTAGGCCAGGGATCTACAAACTATAGCTCACAGCCAAATCCAGCCCATCTCTTGTCTTCTTATGGCCCGTGAACTAAGAATAACTTTTATATTCATAAATAGTTGCTTTTATTTTATTTATTAATTGTTTTTTGTTATTTTGGGACTTTTGTTTGTTTTTAAATAGTTGCTTTTAAATTGTTATGTAAGTGCCTACATAATAGTCTTAATTTGTCCCATGAAGCCTAAAATGTCTTCTGTTTGGCCCTTGAAGAAAACATTTGCTGGCCCCTGTACTAGACCACTAACTTATACCCAGGTACCCAGATGAGCAGGAACACTCAGTACCCAGGGCTGCTCTCTGGATTTCAGCCTTAATAAAAAAGTATGGTAGAGCAGGGAAAAAGAAAAATACTTCTTACCAAAAAGATCCAGTGGAAATGTACAATACCTGTGATTTTTAAAATACTGTGAGTTATTCATTGGGCACTCATGGTAGTTTTGCATTGACTTTAGACAATGATCCTGATATTCACTTTATCATTTTATATCTAATAAAACCATGATTATTGCAGTTTTCAGGTTTGTTTTTTAAAACACAGAACAAGCCTGGCTGGTGTAGCTCAGTGGATTGAGCGCAGGCTGCAAACCAAAGTGTCACAGGTTCGATTCCCAGTCAGGGCACATGCCTGGGTTGCAAGCCACAGCCCTCAGCAACCGCACATTGATGTTTCGCTCTCTCCCTCCCTCCCTTCCCTCTCTAAAAATAAATAAATAAAATCTTTAAAAAAAAAACCCACACAGAACACATTCTACCTTTTTGTTGTTTCCATACATGTCAGAACTGCTAGAATAGCATGGGTGTCTCTCAGAACCCATCTGCCTGACATGTTGATGCCTGGAGTGAGGGACCTTGCTGAGGACTTGTGTGTCAGTGCTGTGTGTGCTGTGGGTTAGAGAGCTTGCTAGTCACTCCATTTCAGTTGCCAACTAAATGCTGTTTTCTCCATCAGAACACTTCTGGGGGCCTACAGAAGAGTTCAGTGCAACCCAAATAGTTTTATTTTGTCTGTGTTGAAAGCCATTCCCTACCCTTTCATGGTCTTTGTATGTGCCTTCTTTCATACATTGTCTTCTGTATTTTTCTAACATTTTGAATATTGAAAGTTATTTTTTAACAGATTTTATTTATTTATTTTTAGAGGGAGAAGAGAGGGAGAAATAGAGGGAAAGAAGCATCAATGTGTGGTTGCCTCTTGCACACCCACTACTGGGGACCTGGCCCACAACCCAGGGATGTCCCCTGACTGGGAATCAAACCAGTGACCCTTTGGTTCACAGGCCGGCACTCAGTCCACTGAGCCACACCAGCCAGGACTGAAAATTATTTTTATATATAAGGGCTGACACTTTCACTTCAAGTTTCTTTTCTTACTCATTGACAAATGGCCCTTTACTTTTGTTTGATTTTTATTTTTAAAGATAGTGCTGGAAGGGACTGTAGAGGTACATTTAATATTGAAATTTCAAAATTGCCACATATTGCCTCTTTTAAAATTCTAAAAGCTGAGTAAATTTCAGTACTTTCTACTTGTGTGAAAACCATTCTACCTCAGTATGCAATAGCACCCTAAGGTCTCAATATGATAAAGGCTTTATTTTCTCCACAAAACAAACAACAGAAACAGTAAAGCCAAGTATAGTGGGCAAGGGGGATCAAGCCCACTATTCTCACATGAGCTCAAACACACACACACACAGCCCCTGAAACACGTCACTAGTATCCAAGAATTCCAGAAACACATTTTTTAAATTGTTGGGTTGCAAAATTACAATAGAATTTGGTGCAGGAGTTGGCAAACTTTTTATATCAGGAGCCAGATGGTAAATATTTTAGGCTTTGCAGGCCATACAGTTTCTGTTGCAGCTCTTCAGTTCTGCCCTTTAACATGAAGGCAGCCATAGATAATCTGTAAACCACGAGCTTGGCCATGTTCTAATAAAACAATAAAGTTTTATTCAGTAGCAATAAAGGCTACTGAAATTTGAATGTCAGATATTTTTACAACATGACAGAAGTATCCTTTCGATTTTTATTTTCCCAACCCTCTAAAAACGTACTAGCTTGTGGGCTGTACACAAACAGGTGGCAGCCTGGGTTTGGCCCTCCGGGTTGTAGTCTGCTGGCCCCTGGTTGGGTTTGTAACACCAGGAGCACCAGCACTGGCTGGGGAAGAACGTCTTTGGAGGATTGAAACCTTAGGCAGGCCATCGCCTTCTTGGGGCAGCAAAGTGGCTGGACTGGGTGATCTGTAAAGCTCAGCGTTCCTGTCACTCACTAGGGCTCTGAATTCTGCCTAATCCCTCATTTCTGTTCCGATCATTTCATAACGTGAAGAGCTGCTATCACTGACCTATGTGGCTTATATGGGCTTCTCTAGAATCTCGTATCTGCCATCCAGGGGTGCTCTAGGGATTTGGGGAAAGGGAGAGACTACTGGGGGTGGGGGACACTGGGCTTGGAGAAGGCTGCATCTGGACTGTGATGGGGACTGATGAATGGGGGTGGCTGAGGTGGTGGCAAAGGCACAGAAGTGGGGCCACCAGGGCAGACGTGGAAAGGCAGGCAGTCTGGGGGGATTGTTCCAGTGAAGGGAGCCAGGATGAGCCTGAGCCAAACCAGTACTTTAGGAGCATTGCTGTGGCAGTCAGCCGAGTGTGTGTTTGAGTAATGTTAGAGGGTGGTGGGAAGCCAGCCAGGAGGTGTTACTCATGTTCCCATGAGAGGGCCCAATGGTCCAACTAGGGCAGTAACTAGAACAAATGGCAGAGAACAAATGAGGGCAAAGTTGGGGAGACAGAAGAATCAGAATCTCCCAACTTTTGGAGAAGCGAGGAGTCAGAACTCTAGTTGAACATTTGGGGTGCAGTCTAACATGGTGACCAACAACACAGGCTCCGGAGTCACACTACCCAGGTTCACACCCCAGCCCCATCCACACCACTGCTGTGACCTCAGTAGATGAGTAGGCTCTCTCTGCCTTGGTTGTCTCATCAATAAAATGGGGCTCAGGCTGAGTGAGGTGATGCGTGTAAGTGACAAGTGCTTAACACAGTACCTGGAATGTAGTAAGTGCTGAAAAAAATGTCCTTGGTAGCAATCATTATTATTACTTTATTTCACTGCTGAAATCTAGAGAAATGATGATATTTCTGCTTTAGTGATAATGAGTTGGTAGCCTACCCAAAGTAAAGTGCTGAGCAGGTTCGAAATATACTTGTCAATTCATTCTTCTGTTAATCAACAATCAAAAATGGCAAAAGATCTCTTGCCATTTGAGGGTCAGATTTGTATTGGTCCATTGGCTAGCCAAGAAATCTTTTTTCTCATATTGCTCAGATTACCCAGAATAATTGTTGGTTTTAGAAGCTGTTGGGCATATCCTTCACAGCTTTGTAGAGACAGGCTTTCACCAGGTCAGTTGCAAGTAACCACTTGTGGATCAACAGCTATTTACATATAATTACACTTCCATATAATTATGCCCAGAAGTCCTCACTGCACACATGTCTAGACTTTGCAGAATACTGAAGGAAAGTACACCATCCGGTGTGCAAGGATGGCCAGAGAAGCTGCATTTCTTTATGCAGTGGTGTTTTTAAAAAATGTCAGCACTTGGGAAAGTGTATTTTCCCCAGCAGACTTACTTGTATCTGAAAGTATCACTGTCTCCAGAAGGTGCACAGTGTCAGCACATGGTGTATCTTGTAGATTAGTCAGATTGCACACATTCCTTCCTGCCCTAAACTCAGCAGAATGGTGGGAAGCACCCTGTCCCTTTTCTGACTCTGAGGAAGGCTGTTTGTGTTAGCACTCAAGGCAGGCAGGTGTCTGACAGCTTGTTGCAAAGGGCGTTGGAGCAAGAGGCAGAGAATTGGGAAACACTCCTGCCTGCTCGCAGGCGGGCTGGGAAATGTGTTCAGTTGTGGTTAAGGGAAGCGGAGGAGCCTGCCCTGTGACATCAAAGAAGCACATGCCATCTTTCCACTGCAAGTCACCAGCTTCCATAAATTACCACTTCATCTTGCCTAAAGATGAACTTGATCATTGAAGGAGCCATACTAGGTGCTTCAGGACTACAGAGTTTTTAGGCCCATCTCTGGAGTTTGTAGACTCTAAAGTTGGAAGAACCCTAACAATCTCCTGAAACATTTGTTTCACAGGTCAGAAGCTGAGGCAGGAAGGGCTGGTGGAAGAGAACCAATCTGTGTGGTGACAGCCGTGGAGGGCCAAGAGTTGGGACTAGACCCCACTCCACCACGCCGTGGGTGGGAGAGGTGTGTCAGGGCTTCCTCTTCCCCTCAGGCTCTAGCACCTTCCACAGAGGCCCTGGTGAGAATGAATGCAGGCACTTAGCTAGTGTCTCTTAGCTAGGGTTCTCTGGCTTAACTTGAGTAGAAATTGAATTAATTGGATGGATATTGGGGATAGTGACAGAATCAACAGGAAGTTTGGAAGGGACAGGACAGAGGCCAAGACACAGGGTCACTGTGGAGATCTGGACAGCAGGAACATGTCACACAGCCTTTTTGGCCACCACCACAGGAGTTTAAACAGTCTGTTTCTTGTGTCTATCCTTGTGTCATTTCACTCACGATTCACTTCCTTGATTGTGGGGAGTTTAGTGCCTCAAAAGGAAACTGATTAGGTTGTTCCCAAATAATTTGGAGACCAGGCTAGAAACCGGGAGTATTGACAAACGTCTCTGTTAAGGTCGTAGTGATGGTATGATTTCTAAAATCATGAAGTTGTGATGTAAAGTGTCTATGGATCATTGACACCCATCGGTCCCCAAGTATCAGAGATCAAGAAGGCCAAGGAAGCCAGGTTGTCAAGTTGTGTCATTCTGTTGCACTCCGCGCTGAGTCCAGCAGAGAGCACATGAGGTATCCGGCTGAGCTAACGTATGAAAAGCTTTCCTAACCCGGATCTGAGAGCACATGAGGATGTAGGAGGTTGGGATCTGTTGAGAGGCTTCTGTTGAGAAGCAAGAAGTGAATTCAGGGCAAGTTCAACAGTTACCCCAGAGATGCTGCTCTTCATATCTAAGACATTAGAGCTTGCCAGATGAATACTAGCCAGCTTTTCGGAGAGTTCCTGAAGGCCATTTCAGACCTCATTTATCACACAGGGAAAGCATGGTGTTTGGGGTGGAGGGAGTCATCCAGGGCTGCACTTAGTACTAGCAAAGAGGTTTTCTAGATATCCTTCTTATTTTCACTTCCTTTTCTGGAAGTTGAGCCTAAGCTATTATTAAACTTTAGGATCACAGGAAAATGGGATTTGGTCAGAGCCCAGCTCCTCACTAGGCCCCATCAGGTAGTGGAAAGAACCCTGGCATTGGAGTTGGAAGACCTCAGTCTGTGTCCCAGCTCTGCTCCTTGCTCATTGATCAAGTCACTGGGCCCCCCTGAAACTTTGGTTTCCTCTTCTTTAAATCAGAGATGACACCCACCCCCAGGCACATGATAAAGTCTAAGTAAACAGTGCCAAGACCTGAATTTCCAGCTGACCTGACACCCGGGTCCTCAGGATCACCCTGGAGCCCCGTCAGACTGGGGCCAGGACAGAGGGAGTCAGTGTGGATGTGCACTCCCAGGTTCTCTTTTGGAGTCTTGAACTGTGTCTCCAGGGCTGGGAAGATAAATGTTGGAACTTCCTCGTGAGGTTCTACTTGGTTCATGTTTGACCCACATTCTTCCCACCTTCTCCCATCTCTCTTTTTCTTGGAGGCAGGACCCTATTGCTCTCCCAACTGTGTGTATGTGGAGGATTGCATGTTCAGTACGTTAACTGTTCTGGTCTCTTGTTCCCCAGGTTGCTCTTCTAGACATTGATATATGCGGCCCGTCAATTCCCAAGATGATGGGATTGGAAGGAGAACAGGTAAGAGCTGTTACAAAAATGGTCAAGTGGTCTCTTACAGCAAACTGTAGTGCTAAACTATTCAACCTAAACAAAGGAGTTAGCAGAGCCCATGGATTTTGACATGGACGTGAAGAAACCAGGTAAATGTTCGCTAATCCATCTGTCTACTTTAACAACAACTGTGGATTGGGAGGTTGGGGAGGATTATGAACAAAGTTCATCCAAAGCATTCAAGAAGTTGGTTTTGGTACCTTCTCAGAGAGGAAGGGAAACAGCAAGTGAAATGAAGAAGTAAGACACGGAAACTTAGCTGTGACTGGGAAAGCTAGACCAGGGTTGGCTGGGGGTTTGTACCCTGGAAGCAAGGGAATGTTTCTGCCTTGTGGTCACCTTTGGGGAACTGAGACTGTGAAGCAGGCAAGTGACATGGAGTAGAGGTAGGGGCAGAGCCTCAGCAGTCTGTGCAGGTGCTAGTGCCTCTCCCTTCAGAGTAGCAAGAAGTAATCCAAGGAGGAGTTCCCCCAGGGTTGGTGCTTTAAATCTGGCTGGAGGGCTAGGCTGTTCCAGAGGTGTCAAGATTAATTCATTCTTTACTTAAGCGCTGACTCTATTCTGGGTTCTGGGTACAGTGGTGATCAAGGCAGAAAAAGACCTGGGCCCTCCTGGAAAGGAGCAGGTGATAGATAACAGAAAGCTAAGGCAGGGTGGTAAGGGGACAGACAGGGTGTAGCAGGGCTTGCACGGGAGCTGCTCTCTGGGAGGGGGTGGTCCAGAGCAGCCTGCTACAGAAAGCCTAGGAAGGGCCTTCTTGGCTGAGGAAAGTGCTGGAGCCCTGAGGCAGGAGAGCTGTGGTTTTCTCTGCAAAGTGGCCGGTGGGGTGGGGGCTCAGGGAGCTGGAGAGCAGCCAGAGACCAATGGAGCCATTCCAGGCTCCACTGTGCTCAGGGGTTGGGATTTATTTCTGAGGGTGCTAGGAAGGGTGTGATCCCATGCTGGGTCAGGGTCCAGCAGTAGGATCAAACATCTGTGGCCATATACCCTTGAGTAACAAGCTTTGTAGCACATACCCACAGTGTAGGTATACATTCATTGTATTTACTTATAAGTGATATATATACACTACTTAGTGTACCAGTATATAAGTATTTTATGAAAATTTGAAATTTTTAAATGGTGAGATAAAATAGAATCTCGACTGTTTTCTTCTCCTACACTATTAGGTCATCATGTTTACCCCTCTCTGAAGACCAGTGACTTAAAGAACAAGGATAAGTAGGAATGTATGAGTTTAAAAAAAACAGTGAGACTTCAGAGCCAGACACAAATGATGTGGTTGCATTTCTGTGAGATGCCTGAAACAGGCAGTTGTAGAGACAGTCTGTCCATCGTCACCTATTTCTGGGAGGAAGTGTGGGGACTGGGGGCAACAGTTAGGAGGTACAAGGTATCTTCTTGGAGTAATGAAAATGTTCTAAAATTGATTGTGGTGATGGTTGTACAACTGTGTGGCTATCCTAAAAGCTATTAAGTTGTACACTTTAAATAGGTGTATTGTATGGCATGTGAATTATGTCTCAGTAGAGCTGTTTTAAAAAGCAAAACTTCATTAAGAAAAACAGACTTTCTGTTTTGGCTCCTGTGTCGCTCTAATTTCTAAGATTGATGTGTAATTGGGAGTTGCCTAAGTTCTAGCTTTATAACAGAGGTGATGTGAAGTTGAACCCTGGCTATCGATGAACACCTGTGAAGGAGAGTCTGACTCTTGAAGTAGCCCCAGTGAGCTTCTCATGCACACCCTTTCTCCCAGTTCTTGCCCCCTGGGGACAGTAGGCCAGAGCTGAAGCCCAGGCCACTGACAGGGCAGGTGCTGTGTCACCTGGCTCACTAAAGGTACTTTCTTCACTCCCAGACTTTTAGAGGCAACCTCACTGCTCCACAGTTACCTGATTTTCTCAGTATCCCCTCAAAGAATTTGTCACTCTGAAAATACCTCAGATCCCAAATTATATTTGAACTCAGGTAACTTTGGTTCCCTGACTATATGTCTAAGCAGTTTCAAAATAATCCAATTTGGTAGGGAAAAGTGTATTTTTTAAGTATATTTTATTGATTATGCTATTTTAGTTGTCACAGTTTTTTCTTCCCTTTATCCCCCTCTACCCTGCACCCCCTTCCCTCCAGCATTCCCCTCTTAGTTCTCATGTCCATGAGCCTTACATACAAGTTCTTTGGCTTCTCCATTTCTTCTACTATTCTTAACCTCCTCTTATCTATTTTGTACCTACCATTTATGCTTCTTATTCCCAGTACCTTTTCCCCCATTCTCCATCTTCCCCCTCCCCACTGATAACCCTCCATGTGATCTCCATTTCTGTGATTCTGTTCCTGTTTCAGTTTGCTTAATTTGGTGTTGTTTTTGTTTTTAGGCTCAGTTGTTAAGTTGTGAGTTTGTTGGAATTTTACTGCTCATAGTTTTGATCATCTTCTTTTCTTAAATAAGTGCCTTTAACATTTCATATAGTGAGAGCTTAGCAATGATGTACTCCTTTAACTCAACCTTATCTGGGAAGTAGTTTATCTACCCTTCCCTTCTAAATGAAAGCTTTGCTGGATAGAGTAGTCTTGGTTGTGGGTCTTTGCCTTTCATAACTTTGAATACTTCTTTCCAGCCCCTTCTTGCCTGCAAGGTTTCTTTGGAGAAATCAGCTAATAGCCTTATGGGAACTCCTTTGTAGGTTACTGTCTCCTTTCCTCTTGCTCCTTTAAGATTCTCTTCTTATCTCTAATCTTGGGTAGTTTAGTTATGCATCTTGGTGTGTTGGGACTCACTAGGCTTCTTGGACTTGAATGTCAGTTTCCTTTGCCAGACTGAGGAAGTTCTCCTTCATTATTTTTTCAAAGGGGTTTTCAGTTTCTTGCTCTTCCGCTTCTCCTTCTGGCACCCCCATGATTCAGATGTTGGAACATTTAAGGTTGTCCCAGAGATTCCTGAGCCTCTCCTCATTTGTTTGACTTCTTATTTCTTCATTCTGTTCTAGTTGAATGTTTATTTCTTCCTTTTGTTTCAAATCATTGATTTGTGTCCTGGTTTCCTTCCCTTCACTGTTGGTTCCCTGCACATTTTTCTTTTCTTTTTTTTTAACTTGGAGATTTCTGACTTCAATCCACTGACTATGACACTTATTCTTAGGAGTTCCAGAGTGTTATTTTTTCCCTGTGTATTTTTCTTTATTTTACTTTGTATAACCTTCAGTCTCCTTTTATTTTCATCCGTACTCAGTTGTTTCTGTGAGCATCCTGATTACCAGTGTTTTGAACTCTGCATCTAATAGGTTGGCTATCTCCTTGTCACTTAGTTGTTTTGTTTTTTTTCTGGAGTTTTGATCTATTCTTTCATTTGGGCCAGATTTCTTTGTCTTGGCACACCATTCTGTATGAATGTTTCTTCTTTAACTCCTTGGTAGTCAAACTTACATACAATTCAATTGTCTGGCAGTTCTGGTTGTTTCTTGTTGTAAAAGTGGTTGTTGTCCATCTTTTGGCTGTGCGAGGAAGCAAAGCTTATACACACCTATGCCTCCATCTTGGCTGGAAGTCCCAGGGTATTTAATTATAGCTTTAATTAATCCGCCTCCCCCGAAGCTATTCATTCCCTATTAAGAGTTTAGTAGTAGCATTTTGGACAAATTGTATTTTATAAAATTGTTTTCTTACTGTGTAAAATTTGTCTGTGCATAAAGTGACCAGGGTGCAGAATTTACAAATGAATCTCGATGCCCATGTTCACACAGGTTCACCAGAGTGGCTCGGGCTGGTCTCCAGTGGTGAGTTTTCACCTGTTTGCCTTATTTTCAAGGTAGTGAATTATGGGTCATGTGTGCATAATGGGTATGTGGTGGGCTGGCAACATTGTTTTCAACCCACCTGTTTATCAGTCAACACATATCTATTGAGACACTTTTCCAGGCATAGGGACTACATTTAGGGCCAGGGACTGGCAAACCGTTCCTGTAAAAGATCAGGCAATAAGTATGTTCAGCTCTTGGGCCATACACTCTCCATTATTGTAGGTCAGAAGTAGTGGTGTGTAAATGAATGACCATAGCTCTGTTCCAGTAAAACTTGACGTACAAAAACAGATGGTGGGCCAGGTTTGGCCCCCCAGGTTTAGCCCATTGAGGACGTGATACTCACTTATTCCAGCTGAGCTGACTATCATTGCAGCTGTGGTCATACGATAGCTCTTTGCGCGCCCCCAGTTTGGTAACTTTCCTTTTTCAAAAATGATCTGTAGATCCAAAGAGTGAATATACTCATAGATCACACAGTAACATTGTCCCTAAAATGTTTTTTTTCCAGCCGGAAAAGACATAGGGAAGTGCCTTGTGCTATGGCTTTAAGTAAAATGTTTTTTGCCTCATCCTCTCCAGTTCCTGGAAGACAACCTGGGGGTGATGTCAGTGGGTTTCTTGCTCAGCAGTCCCGACGACGCCGTTATCTGGAGAGGACCAAAGAAAAATGGTTTGCCCCTCTGCTTTCTGTCTTTGATCGCATTCTTCCCAGGGCAGAACTCTGGGTTTCCCGTGCCCCGTCCTGTCTGGAGCAGCAGTCTCCTGCTGGGCTCCGCAGGGCAGGATTGTTAAGCACCCAGTTGCCTCTTTCTTCACTGGTTGAAGACAACTAATAGAAATACCAGTTTTTGTTTTACAGATTTTAAATTCTTTTATGGGTTTGTTTCTCCAGAAAACTATGTAGCCCTGAAATTATTTGCGTTGTGGTTTTGTAGTGGCTTATTTGTGTCAGAGAGAGAAGTGTATGAGGTGAAATCTATACCAGGTTGATTGGACACTGAGGCTTAGGGTGACAATCCAAAAGTGTCACTTAGGGCAAGATCCCTCAAACTCGGCACTGTGGACATTTGGGGCCAGATAATTCTGTGTTAGGAGGGGGTGGGCTGGGCTCTACACCACGGGTGTTAGAGGTACTCCTGGGCGCTGGATGCCAGTAATACCCCCTCCCTCCTCATGGCAACCAGAAATGTCTCCAGACATTGCCAGAAGCACTGATTTTGAGTATAGACCAAATGTATGTGTACATGAGGATCAAAGCTGTGTTCCTGAAAGAATCCTAAATACAGTAAAGGGAAAAGAGAAATCTGGCATCAGTGTGGATTCCTCCTTTCAGGCATGATCAAGCAGTTCCTCCGAGATGTGGACTGGGGAGAGGTTGACTACCTCATCGTGGACACCCCACCCGGGACTTCTGACGAACACCTCTCGGTCATCCAGTACCTGGCCGCAGCACACATCGATGGGGCGGTGGTAATCACCACCCCTCAGGTGAGCGAGTACCTGGAGGGAGCTGGGCCCAAACCACGCCACCTGGAAAGCTCTCTTCCTCACAGGGCCCTGAGACCTTGGTCTCCAGATGGCTCTGCAGAAACCTCGTTTATCTTTGGTCCAGGCACTTTCCATTGACAAATAAGTGTTCCACAGTCAAATTTTTGGGTCCAATAGTGGTTTAGAGCTGCCTTTTAATTTCCCCTCACAAAGCCAGCGAGACAGTTGGTGCTGTTATAGTTTAGATTGGTCGCTTCACCCTTACTGTGCTCGTGCCTCCGGTCCTCACAATCTGCAGGGCCTCTGTACATTTCAAAACAATTCGGGAATTCTCCCCAGGTTTCCATAGAACCAGCCCCAGGCATAGATGGGGATTTCTGGGCAAGCTGCTGTGGTCCTTGCCTCTTCTTTGGTCTTTGCCAGCTCCTTGTATCCCACGAGGCTGTGGGATAGAGGCTGCGCCACAAGGCTGTGCTGAACCCAAACCGAATATAAATCCAGCAGGCAATAAAAGCAGTCATGTCTATGTTGTACTTTATTATTATTGCCATTGATCTTAATGGGTCCCAAGAAACTAACAGATAATTCTCTTCAGCGATAATTCTCTTCACAATATTCTTTTCCACTCCTGAGAAAGCATAATAAAAAGTGTATATCTTAGTTTGCCTCTAAATCAGTCAGTGCAGCCCCGCATCCTTCACCAAGCCCTCACCTTACTGAGCATTTACTATGCCTAGGCCCTGGGCCAGGTACCAGGGCAGTAAAACAGACTGGGCCTCCCTCATGGTCCATGCGGTTCACTGAGGAACGTGGCACAGTGGGCCATGTGAAGGCGCCCAGATCAGGGAGTGGTGTGACGGGAATCATGTCGGTCAGATCACTCTGTGTCCCTGTGGAGAGATGTGGTGGGGGCACATGGAGAAGCAAGGCACTGCTTAGGTGGCTAGAGACGGGGCATCTGGCTCAGGGATGTGGGTGGAGAAAAGATGGACTTGTCCTCAGGAGTGTTTTCTACTAAATTGTGGAGACCTAGCAAGGGCCCCAGTGAAATTACTTAAAAGCTGGAATGTACCACTCGGGATATGGATGTTGGGGAAGGTTTTCTGTGTGTGGAAGCAAGGGGCCTATGAGAGGCCTCAGCACTTTCCATTCAATGTTGCTGTGAGCATTAAGCTCCTCTAAAAATAAAGTACTAGGAAACAACAAAAATCTAGTTGACACAAAGATGGTTTCTCCAATATCACAGTTGTTGTGAACGGAAACAAGGAGTCCCCTAGGGTTCAAGAAGAGGGGACAGACTGAACAGGTGCTGGCTTTTCCTCAGGAAGCCATGGGCGCACACTCTACAGGTGTGTGCCGTTTGTAGAGAACTCTGGGAAATGTGACTTCAGGCTAGGGGCACCCACTTCCTCCGAACTCTTCACATCTGGCACCTGATCCAAGAAATAGTGCACACTTTGGCCCGGCGTAGTATGCTGATGAGAAAGTAAACAAGAAAGTAGATGCTGAGATATGTTAAAAGGTCACTTTCCTGTAGATTTATTGTACATTTGATATTTGGCTATTCAGGTTTATCCTCTCAGGGTTTTGTGGGGGATAAATACAGCCTGGGCAGCATAGCACATGGTCAGCACTAAATAAGTACTCATTAAATAAATGGCACATGTCTCTAAGACTTTATGATGGTAACCCACTGCATTGCAACCGTCCCTCAACCATGCAGACACTCTCTTTCTTGTACTTGAACCTTGAAACAGCTGGTCTTTTGAATCTTGATAGGAGGTGTCCCTCCAGGATGTCCGAAAAGAAATCAATTTCTGTCACAAGGTGAAGCTGCCCATCATCGGGGTGGTAGAGAACATGAGCGGCTTCATCTGCCCTAAGTGTAAGGTGAGCCTGCTGTCCGACCCGCCCCTTCTTCTGCTGTCGAGGAAATAGTAGGAGCGGGTCTCTGTGAGCTGGTTCTGCTTGCCCCATGGTCTCCACAGGTGGGATCATGATTAAAATTCACCATTGCTGCTTTGATGAAAATTGTTTTGGTAGTTAGTGTTTCACATTCAAAATGGACATTGTTGAAGTTCCTTTAAAATGTGGTCCAGTCTTACGATTCTGAAACAAAGTCATGATTCTTCCCCCGTCTAACTTGCCTCGCAGAAAGAGTCTCAGATATTCCCACCAACCACCGGGGGTGCCGAGGTCATGTGCCAGGATCTGAAGATACCTCTCCTTGGCAAAGTGCCTCTGGACCCACACATAGGTGGGTGAGTCTAAACGCCCCAATTTGGTTGCTCAGTGGGCCTTCACAATCTGGGGCATGGGCCCCAGAACCTGCCCTCCAGGAGCCCACCCTCCAGCGGAGAGAAGCTGTGAGACATGCGTCAGGTAGCCAAGGGAGCAGGCAGACCTCAGGGAGGAGAGGGGGTAGACTTGGGGCTGGAAAAGCAGGGTAGAGATCGGTCAAGGAAGTGCCTGAGTGCAGGAAAGCACTAGGAGAGGAACAAAGTGACTCATAGGGGACTGTTCTGGGACCTGTATTTCCCAGGCCCAGTCCTGGTACTGTGAACTCAGGGGCTTCCTGAGCTGCCTCCACCAATTCCCATGGTAGCTCCACTGCTACCATGCCCTCTCACCCTGGGCTCCTTCCCTCACTTGGGTCTCCTTGTTCCATGGGGCAGTGCCCTTGGGGAGTCGAGGAAACGACAGTTCCACAGTGGGCCTCACCAGGTCCACCTATGGTTGGGGAGCAGCTGTGGGTCGTGGAACCCTAGCTCCTGCTTCTCTAGCAGTGCTCAGCATCTGGGGAGCAGTGCCGGGGGGCGGGGGGTGGGGGCGCTGACCGCAGGGGTCCACCCAGGATTGGCAGTGGGCAGAGCAGATGGAGGAGGTGAGAACACCATGTGGCTGCTGGGGCAGGCCCCAGCATCTTGCTCACCCGCACACTGGGTCAGCATGTGGCCCCAGGGACAATGCGTGTCCACAGCAGGGCGTTGGAGTGGACAGTTTCGTGAAAGATTAGCAGATGGATTGATACCAATGTGGAAGGACCCCCAAGATGAAATTATACAAGGAAAAAGCAATGGGTATAACATGTATATTTTATGCCCCCATTCATTTTCTGTTTTTTTTTTAAGTATGTGGGTGTGTATGTGCATATATATACCATGTTGATATGCACATCTTATTTCTAGAAAGACATCTAAAACACTGGTATTCTCATTTGGACTCTCTTTTATGGTATGGCATTTTGTATTCCATACCTTTTTTACCATGTGCATTCATTATCATTTTACTCAAAAGAACTAATTAATCTTTTAAAATACAGACACCCAGGAGCTGCCGAATCTGTTCTTTGTGGGGCCCTGGAATCTGGTTTGTAGGCACACACACTATACACCATTGGCCAGGTGGGGGGCCGAGCTGTGTTGAAATGCGAGCCAGGGTCCCTGCTGGACAGAGAGGAAGCAGGTGAGGTTCTTTGAGACCCCTGGCGGTCTTTCTGGGCTTTGCTCTTCCTCATGAATGTAGTGGGTTCAACATCTTCTTCATCATAGGCATGGGAAGAACCCCAGGGTCACGTTGCCAGTTTGTTTTTTTTAGGGACTTAATTTTCTTTCATTTGTTTCTTTAAGGTAAGAGTTGTGATGAAGGACGGTCTTTTTTGATTGATGTGCCAGACTCACCAGCCACATTAGCCTACAGGAGCATAATTCAAAGTAAGTGTTCATGTGAGTCTTGTGAATCCAGATGGCTGTGGAGCCAGGAAGCAACACAAATGAGCGAAGTGGGCTGGGTACGAGACGATCCCATTTAGGATCACAAATTGTCACTGCCACACGACAGTAAGGACAGGGGGTCTGGGATGACCTGGAGAGTCTCTCCTTTGGCCCAGGAAGCCAGGAGTCAGTGAGAAATCTTTCAGTACATCAATATTGTGAAATAAGTCATAGTTTAAAAGACACAGTGAGGGTGAATTTTAAAGCATAGGAAATACATCTGAGTAAAGCTGTGAAAAGCAAATTAAGGAAAAAAAAACACACACAAAGCCTCATGAGCCAAACCAAGCCCGCATGCAGGCCTGATTCCCCTGGATGTAGGGCAGAAGTGTCAGTATTACAGCTCAGAGGCTTGGTATGTCTTGGTTTTTATTGCCCAGTAAAGTGGTGTCAGGGGCAAATGACATCATTCCCAGGCTTCTTGACCTACAGAATGGACCAAGGAAAGGCCTCCAGCTGGTGGTTTAAAGCACAGATGGGCAGTGCGTGGTATTCAGGTCACTCTGAAGATTCAGAGCCCCAACAGAAATGGGGCTTTTTAGGGTATCAAGTCCTCTGGGGATTCCATCCCCATCTAGAAGCACCCTGGCCAGGCACAGGGCAGGGCTGGTTGGGGGACTAAGGAGTCATCACTGCTTCTCTGCCTGGCATCTTGTTTTCCAGGAATCCAAGAGTTTTGTAGTCTCCGCCAGCCAAAAGAAGAGAGAACCTCATTAGCCCCTGAAACACAGCGGAACGTTCTGGACGAAAGCAGCCCGTCCTAACCAGCCCAGGCAGAGTAGGGGATCGCAGGCAGAGGGACCAGACTCTGGAGCAGGGTGAAGTCACTTTTGCAGAGACACTTTAATCATCTAATATTTGTACAGTTTTGTTTAGAACATATGTAAAGGGCATTCTTTACAAATGTGCCATTTAAAAAATAAAAACATCTCCTCAAACCTTTCCCAAGGCCTGCTTCACTGAAAATCCAACAGTTTGTTGGTCGTGGAATTCTTCTCTGCTGTAGGCTTGTTTGATTACAGACCCTCTCATGTCAGTTACTGTCGCCTCTGAAGACAAGTCTGGAAAGGAAGCAGAGATGACGTGTGGCTTCAGTGCAGAATACACAGCCGTAGTCCTGGCAGTCCATCACCTTAACCGCTCGGCCACCCAGTCCCACTCACAGTCATGGTTCTAAACAGCATAGTCCACAGTTACTCTTCAGCTTGAGGAACAGTTAGAATATTAATTGAGCCTCAAGCTAAGGCTTGTTCTGAGGGTGATACAGCTGAGGTAGTCAAAATACCTGTGAGAAGCCCGAAAATTGTCCGCATACACGGAGTTGGGGGTCTGTGTCAACACTGTGTTACACTGCATTCAGTGATTCCCAGTGTCATATAATACATTTCATAGGGATTTTGTCAATTACATAAAAAGGAAAGACATATAAAGTCTAGAATTATCTACGTTGCTGTGAGACGCTCACTCTTTGCATGACAGATGCACAGGAACTGAGATGGTGGAGAGAAGAGAAAATTCCTGTTTGTCATCTTACTGTGGGCATAAGTGCCCACAGTAAGGAGGGTGGGCAAATCCCCTTGTTCTTTCCCTCCCACTCTCTCATTTCCTCCCCGCCCCCCCCCCACCCCGATCCCCTTCATGTTTGCACATGTGGTCAAACTGGACAAGTCCAATGTGAGGAAGTTGGGACCCTGGTCAAGGGTGATAAGGTCACAAAGCCCCAGGAATGCCCGGCACCCAGGCTAGTTCCCGCCTGGCTCTGCACCTGGCCCTCAGGCCTCAGGGAAGCCCACCCAGACCACAGGCACAGCTGAGCGCCAGGGAGCTGCTCTCCTCACAGGCCCCCAGCCCTGCACTGTCCAGACCCTGCCTAAATCCCACCTCTCACCTAGCACTTGTGGATCTCCAGCCCCTCCAGGCCAGGCTTCTGAAAGTCACTTGGGCAGGCCTGCAAGGGAAAAGTCAGCCATGGTTTTCAGTCCCCACCTGTGCGTGGCCCAATTCTGGTTCAAATCCAGAGCAAACCCATAATGTACCAAGAGCCTACAGAGCTGGTTGCTGAATGTCTTGGCATAAAGCAGCACCGTAAATATTAACATGGTTCAAACCACTCCAGGATGAGCCTGGTCAAATTTAAAATATTTCTCACTTCTGGAAACCATATGCAAGGTTAAAAAATTTTTTGTGTGACTCTTAATTCTATAGTTTTTAAAATTAACAATAATAGTCATAGAAGGATAAGTACTGTATGATTCCACTTGAGTGAGGTCCCTGGAGTCATCCCAGTCGTAGGAACAGGAAGGAGCATCCTGGCTTACTGGGTACAGTTTCAGTTTGGGAAGGTGGCCGAGTGCTGGGTGGAGAAGAATGCTTGCACAGCATGTAAACGTACTCGACACTGCACCGTACACTTAACATAGTTAAAATGGTGAACTTTACGTTTGTGTATTTCAGCACAGTTTTAAAAGCTAACAGTGGCAGCCTGGCCGAGATGGAAAACATTAAAAACTGCAGTTGCCACCAGGCCTCCTTCACTTGAGCTTCTGGAGAGCAGGGGTCCGGGAATCGGCTTTCAGTAACTCACCGTCTGGAACACTGCCTGGGACAAAAAGCCGGCTGTGACTTTGCTGATGTCACTCTCGCCTCCCATCTTACAAAGGATGTAGCCATATAGGTTAGCGGCCTGGAGAGAAATCCCAGCTATCACAAGCGCCTGCACTCAGAAAAAGCAAAGGGAAGTTTGCTGAGCATATACTGAAATGTTCCTTCCAACCCAGGTAGCAGGGGCTCAGGCCTACACATAAAGTAACAGCCAACCTTTACTGAACATTTACAAATACTGATGGACACCTCTCAGTGATCAACACCCTGAGAAGCTGGTGCCATTATCATCCCAGAGAAAGTACAGTTGCCCAAAGTCCAAGAGCTAATGTGTGGCCAAGCCAGAATCCCCACTCCAGAGCCCACACCTTTAAGCACACTGTTGCCTATACCATCTGTGGATATTCTGTCTTCTCAATGAGTGAACCCGGTCATGGCAACAAATACAGTAACTCTGAAAGAAAACTTCAGAACTCTGAGGCTAATTTATTCCCCACTGAGGAAGGGTTCTCTGTCCAAGGTAGGACGTCATATGCTTTTTCGAAAAATGCCTCTCTTAGCCGCATCATTCGTATGTGCCATAGGTGGAAACAACCATGTCCATCAATGGACAAAGGGATAAATAAAATATGGCATATCCACACAATGGAATATTATTTAGCCACGAAAAGGAAAGAAGTATTGATGCATGCTACAACATGGATGAACCTTGAAAATACTACATTAACTGAAAGAAGTCAGTCACAAAAGACCACATATTGTAGGGTTCCACTTACAGGAAGTGTCCAGAATAGGCAAATTTATAGAAACAAAAAGGTGAGTGGGTGTTGGGCTAGGTGGACAGGGGCACAGGGAGGTGGCAAGGCTAAAGAGTACAGGGTGCCTTTTGGGGGTGATGAAAATATCCTGAAATTGATTGTGGTTACACAATGGAATACACTGGAAACTACTGAACTATACACGTTGAATGGGTGCGTTGTATGGTATGTGAATTATCTCAAAACAGCTATATCAATAAATCTATCACTAATAAATAACAATCCACCCCTGCGACCCTGGGTTCTTCTGTACAGATGTCAAAACAATGTCAGAGTCAAGGTGTTGTCTTACCAGCCACTTTAGCTTCAAGGAAAATAAGGTGCTAAAAAAGAACACAATCCAAATCATCGGGCAAATAATGAGGCCAAGCCAGAAGATTCGGGCTTCAGCTTCTGTGGCAGCAATATTATTTGGAGAGACCTGTTGTGGGAAAGTGATTCATGCTATCATTTCCATTTATTTTACACGTGCTTCTGTTATGTGCTGGGGTGCCGGCAGCAGCGGGCTTTGTGCAGGGTGGACATCAGATCTGCACGAAGTCCAGGAGGAACCCAGAGACTTTCCACAGCCGTTTTCCCCATGCTGGTCTGAGGCGTCATGGAGAATACCTTTCTGGCTTCAAAAATCCAGTGGCTTTTCCCATCTTCATCTATCTGGTTCCACCAGCGGAGGCCCACCATGAGCCTTCCAGTTACATTCTGAGGGAAATGGACAAAAACACTCTAAGCACGTCATGGGCAAAGAGAAGGTCCTTACCTGTTTATTGGCGAATAAAAGAAAAGTCGCCGATTCAGGCAGGTTAAACTTGTACTGGGTGCAGAGGAGAGGGGAATTGAACCATGGTGGTTTCAAAGTCATCTTTTAAGGCTTCTAATTTTTAATTAAGCTTACCTTAAAAAGTGACAGACTCCTCAAATATATATATACTCATATTATATAGTACTTTTAAATATTTATGTAAATATTACATGTAAATTTTATTAAAAATCCAAAGCCATATGGAGTTGTCATCCTCACATGGCACATATTTGTAACCATGACAACTGATATCCTGAAGCCATTTATTCAACACCAAACAATGTCTTTTTTCCTCTAATTTTAAGTGACCCTGGCTCAGTATTCTTAAGTATGTATCAGCAGTTTTCAACCAGAGTACCTCTTGGCTCAAATCAGCCACATTCATCGGGACAGTCACCATCCAGAACTCAGCCCACATGTGTCGGGGGCGACAGCATCACAAGTGAGGGGACTTACCTTCACAGACCAGAAGTCAAAGGACAGAAGGAGGAGCACAGTGACAAAACAGCCCACAAAGCTTCTGCTGAACCAGTCACAGCACACGTAGGTGACGATGGCACTCACTCGGAAAAACAGGTGGAAAAAGGTGGCCAAGGGATGCCTAGGAGACAACCCAGAAGGCTCTCTCACTTCAAGGGCCAAACGGGCTGTCACTGAGCTCACTCCGTGCTTTCTGACTTTCCATGTTCTCTCTAGTGCTCTTCAAGCCAAACTCAATCCAGGCTGCAGCTCCCAGGACTGACACATCACTAAATTAGGAGGTCGGCAACAGTCATTATTACACTAGCTTGTTTTTTCTCTCCCTCTCAAAGAATCCCGTACTTTCCCCTAATTTGACTCCAAATATTACTTGCCCTCTTTGAAACTGGGTCACATTTGAAGTGAAATGTGACCGATCTCTCACTGCCTTCCCACCTAGCAGTGACAGTCACCAGTTCCCTAAAGGTAAAGGTTGGGTTATTACCCAGTAACGGAGCAGCAAGGCCACGTGCAGCCCACGGGTGCTGTCTCTTGTCATCGGGGAATGCATATTCCTGGATAGAGGGAAATGAGAATGACATGCCAACGACCAGTCTAACTCATAGCTGCACGTAATGAGTGGTACTTGGATGATGAAATTTAATCTAAGGGATGATGGTTTTTGTTCACTGGAGCTGTAGGCACAAAAGAAGGGACAGAACCAAGAGGTTATGTGCTCATCCTACATCCAGGGCTTTAAAAAATGAGCCTGAAAGATGAGAGCCCCAAGGATGATCAATAACAGGGGTCATCCATTTATCTGGAGCAGATAGATAACAGAGGCCTGTAGAGGTCGGGCAGGTGGCAGCCATGGGTGACATGGGCCAGGTAAAGACACTCATGGATTTCTATTTCTTTTGTAGGCATCCACTTCCGATAGAGCACAGGTAGAGAAAAGCACTCAACCAAGATCAAGAAAGCAACAGTGCAAGCCCAGTGATGATGGCAATTAAAGTGCTACCCCATTGCCAAGGAGGAAGGGGGGGGGGAGGGGCAGGCCTCCCCCCAGGGCAGTTGACTCTTCTTGGCCAGCCTGCCCTAGTCCTGCCAAATCCAGTATTTCACAAGAAGCCAGAAATCCAGACTTATGATTGCAATTAGGATTTTTAAATGATGGCTACTAATTATGTTAATAAAATAATGCAGGCTATGTATCGCCCTGGCCCACGAACCACCTAAAGTCTGCTTGCAGGATTTAGGGTGATCAAAGAGGCAGCCAGCTGGTCTGCAGGGGGATGAGTCCGCTGGGTCTTCCCAAAAAGAAGTGTGGTCAGGACAAGCAGACTAGAGGTTCCCACAGAACTGAGCTGTTTCGAACTCCCAAGGGACCGTGAACTCAGATTCAGAAGTGGAATTTATAGTGACTTCTGCATGTACTCATGATGTTGCAAAGAAAGAAGGGGGCCACAGCCAAACACCAGCTGTGTGCCTGGATGCTTCTCATCTGTGCCTTCTGACACTGAGCTCTCCTGGCAGCCTGGGTGAAAAGGCAGCCTGGGAAGAGTACCCAGCATTTAAGAATTAAAAGTGATGACATTGAAATTCTGAATCTGGACTGTTCCAGAAGACAAGACTCTTGGCAACCACTTACAGTCTTTTTGCCTTAAATCTTATTGAAGATTTTCAACAAACAGTCTCAATATGATTTTACCCCTTCACGCTGAAGATAAATGAGTCTTCTTGCCATAACTGAAAGTTCTTCAAAAGCAGAAACCATGTCTAAGATAATTTTATATCCCAACAATGAAGGACATTTAAGATTCTAGACAAATATTTGCTGTGTCGTAACTGCGATTGAGGCCATCAAGGATCGCTGGGATATCCATCCTCTCTGTAGAACACAGACTTAGAAGATGTAAGAGACCCAAGTGTGGAGTGATCCGGGGTAAAACCTGGAAGTTGATGTATTCGAATAAATCCCCTGCCCACCACTTTTTTTTCTTTCTTTTTTGGCTGTGGTTTCCTGAAATAAAACAGAAAAATTTCCAATTGTTGGAAAGTTCTGCTTGGTTGAGAGGTATTGCTACTATTATTCAATCAAATTATTATTATTCAAACAAAGCCCAAAGCAAGTAGAAAAGGATGCCGGTTGCACTTTCAAATATTGCTTTAATTCTATTTTGTGCAGGCTGTTCTCTGGGCAACCCCGCAAACCCTCACTCAGTCTCTCTCTGGAGTCTGGCCTTTGCCCCCAGCTAACCCTGATCTGGTCTCAGACTAGTTTCCTAGCTTTGAGAGTTCTGAAGCCATGGCTTAAGCCTGTCCACTCTTCCCTGCCACGGGGTCCTCTGTCCTCCCAGCATTCTCTCTGGCTACCTCCACAGCTGCGGAGCAAACACAAGCACCAGTCGCCTTCATATCTCCATGCCACGGGCTGCCAGCTCCACCCTCCCAGGCACCCACCTGGTCGCCTCTTGAGAGGTGCTCAACTGCCAGGGTTCCAGTCCTGGCTCCAACCTCTGAGTAGCTCTACGGCTTTCCCTAAGCTGCATAACCCCACGACGCCTCAGTCTCTGCTTCTGTACAACGGAATGCCAACAGCAGCCATTTCCTAGGAAGCTAGAAAGATCAAGTGAAGCTGGCACATATGAAGTGCTTGAGACACAGGCCGTGCTCCGTAATTGTGAGCAGCTGTTGTTATCTCAACCCTCAGAGTCACTCGAAACTGCTCCACCTCGAGGAGCCACGCTAGAAAATTCCCCCTCTGACCACAACTTTCCTTCTCTCTCCCCAGGGGAAGACTTTTCATGTCAGGGATCCCCCAAGACTCCAGATTCCACATTTCCCCAGCCCTAGTGCTTTCACTAAAGAACATCCTTCACTCCTCCACTTGAACACTGACCATTTCCCACTGGGTAGCCAGCACTCCCTCCACCTGGCCAGGCAGGAGCCTGTTATGTCCAGCAGAGGTGGTGGAAAGAATGACAGATGGTGAAAGGGGGAAATGAGACAACTTAAAATGTCATCAAGGTGGGAAGAGTCTCAATGGGCTTTTGCTTAAGTTTAAATCCATTTTCATAGTTCTGGGCCCCAGGACACCTATTATCTTCCTCCTTAGAAGGAAATGCAGAAGGTTCTCAGCCTGGAATGTGCAAGAAAGGCTCCTGAGGGCATAAAATGTGCACAGGCTACTACTGTCCCAAGACACATGGGTCCAGATTTAGAGTGGAGCCTAGATACGAATTTTGCAAAGGAAAAGCACGGCTCTATATTGGATTTGCCAACTCTGGCCCAAGGGCCACTTCAGGCTCACTTCCTGTTTCTGTGAATACAGATTTATGGGAACACAGCCATGCTCACTCACTCGCTGGCCTGCCAAGCTGAAAATATTTACCCAGAAAGCGTGCTAACCCCTGCTGCAGACCAGCAGGAACAACTTGGTGATGAAATCTGCCTCCATTCAAAACAAACCAAAAATGAAAAAACTGCTGCTAACAGCCCCTTTCCCCCTAAAAAAATCTGCTTTCCAAAGTGGCAGTGTGGGAGTTGCCTGACTAGCAAAACCAACAGATTCTGCTGCACGTCAGGGCTGTGTTCTCTCGGGACGGTGAGGGGCGCTGACGGGGAAGGTGCACAAGGAACCTCTCTCTGGGTGCTGGACATGTGGATCTCGTGTGCACACGTATATTCAAATCCACCAAACTGTATGCTTACGATTAGTGTACTTGTCTGACTGTGCACTACACCTCAATTGAAAAAAAAAATTTCTGATTGAATCCACTGACCAAAGAAAAATCTTTCCAAGTCACCGTAAAAATTCTTCACATGATACAATCCACCAATTCACTCCTCAGTATTTACCCAAATAAGTTGAGTAAACATCTATATCTGTGCACAGATGTTTATAGCACCTTTATTCATAATTTCCCAAGTTAGGAAGCAGCTAAGATGTCCTGCAGTAGGCGAATGGATAAACTGTGGAATGGATAAACAACAGAATATTATTCAGTTTAGAAAGAAATGAGCTATCGAGCCATCAGAAGACATGGAAGAAGAACCTTAAATGCACATGACTAAGTGAAAGAAGCCAGTCTGAAAAGTCTCCATACTGTATGATTCCAACGATATGACATTCTAGAAAAGGCAGACAGTAAAAAGGTCAGTGGTTATCAGTGGTTGCCGGGGGGCAGGGGGCGGGGGAGGATGAATAGGTGGAGCACAGGGGATTTTTCGGGCATGTCAAAACCTATCGAATGTACAACACCAAGAGTGAACCCTGACAGAAATTATGGACTTTGGTTACTAATAATAATAATAATAATATATTGGTTCATTGATTACAATAAATTATGACACTAATGTTAGAGGTTAATAGTAAGGGGAAATTGGGATGAGGAGGGGCTTCTGGGAACTGTATTTTTGCTCATTTTTTCTATAAACCTAAAACCACTCTAAAAAAATGCACTCAGGTCAGCGCAGGGGTGCTCTGTCTAGACAGTACAAAAATTGAAATTGGGGAAGACAATGTCCCACAGGCTCACACGTCCTCTTTCCCACAAGCTTCTAAGGCAGGTTTGATTTGGGGAGCAGGGGCAAGGTTGATTTAATCCTAAATTCAGCGGTGATTGAATTAAAATTTGCCCTCTATTTAACTGTTGAACAGATGAGTAAACTGTACTCAATTTGAAAACTGTACTCTGATTTTTAAGACTGTCTCCTGCTTGAATTCCTTATCAAACATCTTATTTTAAATTCTTCATCATGTTTCAGACACTCTGGAAAGTTTTCGACTTTTTCCTGAGGCAAGGGTCTGAGGAAAGATAGCAGCTTTCCTCCTAGGTTTACTTTGCCACTACAAAAAAAAAAAAAAAAAGCACCTGTGCCCTGGCTGGTGTGGCTCAGTGGATTAAGTGTGCGCCTGTAAGCCAAAGGGCCGCCAGTTCAATTCCCAGTCAGGACACATGCCTGGGTTGTGGGCCAGGTCCCCAGGAGTGGGTACAAGAGCAGTAACTACACATTGATGTTTCTCTCCGTCTCTTTCTTCCTCCCTCCCCCTCTCTCTAAAAGTAAATAAAGTCTTTTTTTTTTAAAGCGCCTGCTATGATGTCAAGAATTTGCTTCAAGATTATTCAGGGGTGGGCA